TATATATATATATATATATATATATATATATATATACATATATATACACACACTCACACACACACCATGTCAGGTTTAGTCTGGTCTAGGTTAAGTGGTTTCGGTCCTTAGGCTGGGTCCAGATTGGACTTGGGTCTGCTGGTCAATATAAGCCATTTGACACACCTATGTGAAATTTTCATGTTGGGTTCAAATTTAAGAACTCTTATTGCCATTTTGACATTCTTTTAGTATGATAAGCATAAAAATGTTACTTCCAAGGATTTAAGGCAAGTTCAATCTTAGGTATTTTTTTGTCGAGGAATCAATCTTAAGAGCACCTCCAAAGGTCCTTGACTCTTGAATGTGACTATATTGTAAGTGTTGGAACATAGAAGTTAAATAACATGACAAAATTATGTCTTACATGAATGAGAGAGCTTTGTGCTTGATCCATTCATGATTCACCCTAGGTCATTGAGCTAAGCGTGGTTTTTGTTCTCTCTCTATGATTAGAATTCATACATTTGTTTTTCCTCGTTTCATTTGTTGAGTTCTTGAATAAATTTTGATTGAAAGCATGACAAATTGTTTAGGCTTTGTTTGTCTTAATCTTCTAGGATTTTGTAAAGGGTGGATGAAGTGGAAACTTCTAACTTTTTATATATTATTACTGGGATATCTATTACTTCTTGGATCTGGCTTGCGACTAAATACGTAACTCATGTATAAAAATCTTCCTAGAAGGGGAAACATACTCTAATATTAAGGATTCTGGCAAAACCATAGTCCTTGTGCCATCACCTTCTTCTGAAATGGATAGTGGGACCCAGCATTGGGATCTGGGATCATATCTTATTTTGGCAATAGAACTAAGGGCTACTGTTTTGATAGCCCTAAGGCTTGTATTATACTCCCCCTGTTCAGGTCTGTGGGTATAAATTTCTTAGTTTCTCTGTACAAGGAGTGCTAGAAAATTTTTTTTATCCCAGTCTCTTGATATACTAAATGTCTCTTTAATAACACAACTCAACTCAGTCTCCTTCGCTGATTTTATTAAGATTTGCTTCCTTGCTAAGTACAATGTTTATGCGTAGAAAATTACTGAAATGCCTATGTGCACCTATAGTTTGAACATAACATTCCAGTACTTCGTCTTAACACTGGAAGCTCCCTAATGTGCTGTTTAAGACTTGCTTCCTTGCTAAGTACAATATTTATGCCTAGGAAATTACTGAAATGCCTATGTGCACCTACAGTTTGAACATCACATTCCAGTACTTCGTTCTGTCATCATCATGTCATTTTGGGTCCTCTAAAAATCTTGATCCTAATAATATTTGGCAATAATGTCAAGGTTGCATCTCATTGGACTTAGTGCAAACCTCATGGATACAAGAATCTTGAAACATCTTTAAATGACTGCTTTGCTTTTATCACTTCTTCAACTGTTTCATGGGCCTTCCACCATAGTTGTGCAACATGATTGCCGGTACAAGGTTATGGAAGAACTTTGTTGCATTTGGACACAATGGGAATTGATGTACCTCAATTCACTGAGTGTAAAATCCTGGATCTGCTGCAAATGGGTTTTTGAAGGTGAAGACCATAGGCAATTGGTTCCTCATCCATGATTTGCGGTGGAAGGATAAAAGAATATTGTATAGTTATGATGAATGCCTCCTGCTCTCTGGTTATGATATGTTTGCTCCTATCCCCAAATGGTCTGCATAGTTTTTTTGCTGATGGATATATAGATCATACATATTTTTGTCACACAATATATATTTCCTTTCTTTCTTTAGCTATTATTATTCTAACAATCGTTGATCAAAAGAGAACGATACCATGCATACTCAAGGGTATGGCACAGCCTTAGTTTCTTGTATTGTCTTACCACTTTATGAGAGTGTTATTGAATTGACCAAAAAATTCAGTTTGAATGATTCTCCATGAGAAAGCATAAAATAAGACTTGCTTTTAGGACACGAAGGTCACAATCACCTCTAGCCATGAGACTTGAAATCAGATATCTTGAGGTGTGCCATCGACAGTGATCAAAGTTGAATAATGTTTGTCTTGAAATTTGCGACATACTTTTAGTTGTCAGATTTCATATTCGACTGCTAGAAATGATTGTGACTTTCTAACAAATATAACAGTCTTGTGGTATAAAATCCGGTTATTTTTCTAAAATGAATTTCACTGGAATTTTTGTTTACACCCATATAAAGAAACTGAATGATAGTTACCGGATGTGGGGGATAAATGGCTACGACAGAACCCTGCAGATCGCAAGGTGGTGATGTGTGATGAGAAGCTGAAGACCATCTTTGAAGGGAAGGACAAAGTTGGAATTCTGGAGATTGCAAAGCTGATGAGCGTCCATTTCGTGAAGCCCAACTGAGGTGGCCTCAGGTTTACGAACTGTTGTTTCCTGCTTTTGCCCTCAACATTACCTGATTTGACTCCACTAGTACCTGATGTCCTCTGCACTGAAGCTGTTATGATTTGCTATGTCCTTGTACAATTAGGCACTGATACTGAACGCAAATTTAGTTTCTCTACACTGCATTTGCCCTTTTGGACAGTGACTGTGGGCTTTTGCATCATCTGCAAACAATTCTCTGATCATAGTTACAGGTTTTTGTACGATGGGTGTTATTCAATTGTGGTTAGTTTGAAGGGCTTTTTCAAATCTATTCCATTTTTGCGCTAATTTAGGTTCGGAATGGAATGGATACACACGTTGATTGTTGCCCCCTTTGGTATGTTTATTTATTTATTTAAAGAAGGTTACTAACTTCTTTATTACAGAATATTTTGAAAGAACTACAGAAGTTACAAGAATAATAAGGGGTGATAATGGGCTGTTTAGCCTGGCCTTTAGAAATTTAGGGCCTAGGCCACAAAATGTGGCCCGAGGGATAGGCCAAGACAGGCCCGGTTTGGTCTGTCCCAGCTCCTCCCCTATTTATTTATTTATTTTTGTTGTTTTTTGCTTTGTTTCCTTTAATCGGGTTAAGGCCAGGAATGGGCAGGCCCTCAGGGGAACAGGGCTGACCCGGCCCTGGGCCAACCGTAAGAATAATCTTCTGCAAAATTATACACAAATAATCTCTCACATTAGTACAACTTCTACCTTTTACAAACACCTTATTCTATCAACAAATGAATCTCTTATGGCTAAATCATCAGCAATTGAACATCTTAGGACACGACATGGACACTGCATCATGGACATTGCATCTCTGAACATTCATACCTAAACTTTTCCTAAGCATTCTCAATTACCATTGTACTTTTAACATTTTTTTTTTTCTAATCCACTTTATCACATTCAAAGAATCCCCATCCACGATAACCTTCATTTTAAAGTCTTTAGCTAACTTAACCCCCTGTAGAATTGATTTGGTATAGCAATCCCCACCTGATCATAAATATCTCATTTGCTATAGTAGACCCCAATAGATCATAATGTCTTTCAAGCAATGGTTTAAAAAGCGGATCGGTGATCAGGATCGGGCATCTCAAAAATCCATCCAGATTGGCGAATCAGTGATCCGGATCAGGAATTGGCTGAATCGGTCGGATTAAATTTTAAAAAAATTTCGAAAAAAGTATTAAAATTTATTATAAATGTTATTTTTTAGGAATTCAATAAGAAATGAGGGTGTTCCATTAAGAATTTTCATTTCTTTGCATGAATATGTGAATATTGATATGTTCTTTTTCTGTATGAATTACTATTTACTATTTAATTTACATCACACAAAAGGATAAACATAGAATTATCATGGATTAAGTATATCATCATACATGAATTACAATAAAACATTCAATTCGTAACATACGATCTAAAAATAAAATGACAGACAACGTCGTTCTTCTTCTTGGTCACACTGGTGCCATTGATTGAATTTGCGTGACAATTCATTGACTCGATTTAAAAATGAATCATCCAAATTAATGGGCACTTGACTATATCTAAATCCCTGAGTGTTAGTGTTTTGTTGTGGTCTTAATCTAAAATCCCCGAAGCTTGTTTATCCTTCATGCTCACCTAGACTATCGTGCTCATCCATACCCTCTTGTTGTTGGTACTTGATATGTGAATAATTTAGCTGGGATTGGGTGGCCTCAGAATCATTATCTCTCTCATATTCCCTTAGATCCCTTTCCTACTCTCCCTCATTTGATACAATATCATCGACATCTCCGACGAATTGTGGATATGTTGGCGGGCTGCCTCCTCTTTCATGCTGCTCATCACTTGCTTCAAGATCTTTCTCACCGATAGCCTCAAGGAACGCTCTCTTGTGCAACATTAACTATTCTTCTTCTACTACCAATTGTTCTGCTGTGTCCGTCACAAATATTGTGTCCAAGTCTATCGGCCCATAATCTTCAAGCTTCTTTCTTATTTGTCGTTCTTGGAGGTTTAAGTTGTAATGAACGTAGATTAGTCTATGAAGCTTCTCCGAAGCAAGTCGATTCCTTCTAGTAGTGTGCAACCATTGAAACGCACTCCAGTTTCGCTCACAGCCAGCAGCAGAACATGTCTGGGAGAGCACTTTGATTGCTATCCTCTTTAGGTGAGGTGCATCACTATCATATATATCTCACCATTCAGTTGGACTAAAATGTAAAAAGCATTGTAAGGACAAGAACAATTCATAAGATTAAATATATGAATGAACAAAATATTAGTTAGGGGATAACCTGGATCCATTTTAGTTCGAGAATTCTTGACAAGTCTAGTTTCGAAGGATCCTATAGCATCCTTATATATAGCAAGCTAAAACAAAATATTTCGTTTTAGTGCATTATTCGTCAAATATAATAACTCAATCAAGTTCTTACCAAAATATTAAATAATACCTCTTGTATTGTTGCTACCTCGTTTCGATGGCTTCTCTCCAACCTGGCAATAATGTATCTGACCCCTTCTATAATCTTGTGGGGATGTTCAGGTGTCAAATAGAAAAATTTTGGGTGTAGTAGTAACCTGAAAAATATATAGATAGAGAAATGTCATTTAAAATTTCATAAAAAAATAATTTACAATGAAACATTTTACTTATATAAATATATATTTACCTGCATAATGAATTGGACGTCCAAATTTGGTGTTCCACCTTCTCTTTATAATCTCGATCACTTTACTAGTAAAACTACACTTTTCCCCAATAGCTGATTTGACCCTCTTGATACCTTCATAAAGGATGCCCATGGTAGCTTTCTTATCAGCATCCACCATTCTTAATAACATAACCAAAGGGACAGTAGCCTCTACAATATTGGAACGTCGAGACCAGAACCTCCTATTTGAGACTATGCCGTCCACTTTTAGCCTCGTACTGGACTTCGAGAGCGGTCATTTAACCACTCTTCACTGGTAAACAATCTTTTTATTGCACCTTCAGATTCCCGAATGGAATCCACAGCCACTCTAATCTGTCGCAAAGCGGGTTATGACAGGCATGATTATTTCTTTTTTCTTAGATTGTTCTCTGAACAAAAATAAAATTTTAGAATTATTATACATAAATCTTGACACCAACTTCACTTCCTGTAGAGTCTCCTTCACAATTTTGATATCACCGATCTCCTCTAACATCAGATCGATGCTGTGTGCAACACACGGGGTCAATACTAGATGCTTCATCTTATCCATCAACTTGCTGCCCGTAGAAACACATGCACGCGCATTGTTCGTAATAAACTGGATTACATGCTTATCTCCCTCTTCCTCCACTATCTGATCATATAGCCGTACATAGAAGTTTGCATCTTTCTTCGTCCTTGATACGTCTTTGCTAGAGAAAAAAATGATACCTTTTGGGGAATAAGCCAAGAAGTTACAAACTCTTTTTTGCTAACTTTATTTAACCAACCATCACTCATGAGAGTAATGCCTGTTCTTAGCCAACTCTGTTTATATTCTTCAATCTACTTTCTAACTTCCTCCACCTCTTCGCCCAAATATTGGCCCACTGAGCTCATATGCCGTCTGGGGGTTTTACCCCGGGCCCGGTTCTCTAGATTGCGTTGACCATAGGTGGAAAATATGGGCTATTGGATGCATCAAAAGGGATCCCTTTATCGTAGAACTATTTTCCTATATATCTGCTCAATATGTTTCTCGTATCTTTCACCATGCCTTTGAGGGTCATCTGTTCTGACTTAGGCTTTGAGAGAAATGGGTATATACGACCATAACCTACAATACTAGCCCTCCTAGGTGAGCTAGAAACAATTTCTTCAACGTCTGATTCATCTTGATACATATTGCCACCAACCTCTCCATACAGATTTGAGCTGGACCCGCCATACATGCTCGAGCTGGGCCCGCCATGCATGTCTGAGTTAGGCCCACCATGCATGCCCATGTCATAACCACTAGGCATTCTAAACCCGCGTTCCCTCTGGTATGTTTTATGTAAACTCATTCTTGTGGCCATCTCCAAGTCATTATTATATTGCTCTTCTGAATCATTTCCGCTTGATGACGTATATAAACTAGCTATCTCCTCATACATCATCTGCTTTGTAATTTTTTTACCTTTGGTAGCCTTGATAAATGCCGCCATCTGCTTTCTTACATTCTTAGGGACACTATTACACGCAGAAACATCTTCCTTAACCCCTGCTAAGTGTTGCTTGAACCTATGAACCCCACTACTTATCACTCTTTGACAGTAATTACAAATAATTTTGTCTTTTTTGTTGGGATCAAGTCTGACCCCATGTTGCCATGTAGGGTCTTCCGCAGATCTTGCCATGGTTCAACTTTAAATTGTAAAAGGTTAAAAATTAACCTGACAGTTGAACATGAAAAATAATCACCATGTATAGTGATAATATGTAGGGGTAGTTCATGAAGTTATATTTGTTGTTAATGCAAAATACTTGTATTGACAGAAATATTTTAATTCCTACTGGGAAAAATAATTTATTTATGCAACATTATAGATAAAAATAGCCTATATCAGCCACTACATATAGAACAATAAATTTACATTGATATAATATCAATAAAAAATATATTTACAAGGGTATAGTAATTCCTAATGCCATTACATATGGACTTGTCACAATCTCCATTTTGACAAACATGAATTAGTTCCTACTGAGAAAAAAAGAATATTTATACAACATTATAGATAAAAAAAAGTTTGTATAAGTCACACTTAGAATCAAGAAAAAAATTACATTAATATAATCATTCATATTGCGACTACACGTATATTTGACACAAAAAACATTTACAATGATATAGTCATTCACAATGCCACAAATAAAATTTACAATGATAAAGTCGGCACAATTCCAACTCGATTGAAATGATCACAAATATTCATACATCTCAATTACAAATATGCAAGATAATATAATAAAAAACAAGCTCCAAACATGGCTACAACTCAATTATCAAGAACATACATTTTTTGCATTAAAAATTTAATAATAAAATTGAAAATTGCAAGATAATATAATTATCATACATGCCACGATTTTTTTACAATGATATTCACTTTAATTCCTCATGATAATACAGTTTAACAACATGTATTTTTTGCATTAAAATTTTAAAAAATTAAAAATAAATTTTTAATGCAAAACTGCATTAAAAATATACTACAGTTTAACAACATGTATATATTAATGTATTTTTTTGTATTAACAACAAATTAAAA